TTTGTCTATTGAGCTCACCCCTTTTTCTCTAACCATTTTTTCTTAAAGGTTGAACCCAATTCCTAAAAAACAAAAAGAAAAAATTTTTTCTCTAAAAAAAAATCAAACCTTAAAATCTCTAAATGAGAAACTTTTTAAAATAACTTCAATACAAATCTAATCAAAACTTTCATAAATTAACAAATTTAACCCCAACAATTAACAAATCCATTGGATACAAAGAAACCTAAACCAACTAAAAAAAGCACAATTCAAGTTTTGATATGAGCTAAAAAGCAAGAATAGCAATAAATCTAATCTAAAACCTAAAAAAATCATAAATTTGGGTAAAACCAAAGAAAGAAAACCTAAGTGGCTTTTAATTTGGCTAAAATCAAAGAAAGAAAATATAGGTAAAACCCACATTATGCTTTACTTTCTCAAGTTTTGCACAATAAAAAAAAAAAAAAAAACTTGTCTAAAATTGTGAAATTGTAAAACAAAGAGAAAAAGGCATGCCTGTTGGCAAAAAACATGAAAGAGAAACAAAGACAATAGTTAGGTATTTGGGAACAAAAAAAATGAATGATGGTTATTGGCTATAACATGAGAGAGATAGAAAGATGAGTTAGGTAGAGAAGATAGAGTATAGGTCGTGAAAGAGAAAGAGACAATGATAATGCTATAGAAGAAAGAAAGAGCATGACACATGGGTGCTTTCATGAAAGGTTAAGTTTTAGTCAAAAAGAGTAAAATTAATAATATAGATTTGTGGGCTTTCAACAAGCTTTTTTTTTTTTTAATAAATAAGAGTTTCATTATTTAAATACCATTACAATCAATAGTAATAGTATCATGAATGATGGACAAGCATTCCTTTACCTAGTTGAAATATGTTCTTGAGCCAAGTGCATGTTTTGCTAACTTGTGTACAACTTTATTAGTGGAATGCCTCACATGAACAACTTTAAAATTCCTAAAATCTATTTGTAAAACTCACACATCTTCTATGAGATTTCCAATGATAGATAAAGTTGGTTCCAATTTTGCTTCTTGTTGTTTAAGATCTCTTGCACCAATAATTGATTATTGGCACCAAAATGGAGAATTTAAAGCTTTAAAGGAAATGGTTTCAAGGCATGCTATGAAAACATTTTCCTTTAGACTTATTTGCCCTTAACAATTCTTCAGATACAATAAGGGTTGTTCAAATAATAGACGAGATACAATGAAGCTTTGTTTGAACTCACTTTGCACTAATGAAGTTCAAAGCACTAAATACTTTTTCAAGATTCATAAAAGTACTTTTGTCTTATGCTAGGTTTCTACATTAAACAAAGTCTAAGAGACTTGTTTCCACTTTGAAAGTGAGAAGGAGAGAACACACTTTTCTAACAAAAGTTGTGTCTTTTAATTTGTATTATTTTAATTAACAAACACTTTCTTTAAGTAAGAACACATTTTTTTGAATAATTACATATATAATTATCTTTTAGAAGCCAAAGATTACTTTTGAATGACTATAACTTATTACAAGAGAAATCATTTTTGACAGTTTAAGAAAATGTAACTTTTCATACAAGGGCATTCAACTACCTTGTATGGACATTCTACTGCCTTAGCGTATTTTTGTAACATAATACTTTTCCTTGGTAAGGCAGTCAAATACCTTTTACTTCGCATTCAACTGCCCATGTATAATTATCCTTTGGTTGGGCATTCAACATTGCCCATGTATAATTATTTTACATAAGTATTTTTGTTCTTCGTGAAAACCATGGCATCTAACTACCTTATCAAGATAGTCAAATGCTCCTCTAAAAAATCTTATCTTGTTAGGTCTTACACAGATCTCACATGAATTTTAACCTTTCCATAACTTAATTCTAACTTTGTATATTTGATTTCTCAAAATCTTTAATTATCATACTTATAAATTACCTTTCATTATTTTAAAAATAATTTCAATGTATAAATCTTTTGTTACCAAATTCAACAAGTTAAATGACTCTAAAAGCACCTCATTCAAGCATGATTAAGTTAAAAACCCATAACTTTAGCAAACTTAATCCCCTTAACCGTTACAAAGGTTTTTGTCACTAAAGAAACACCAAGAAATCATCATTGTCCTTTATCACCACACCAATGCCTCTCAAAGCTTTTGATTTGTTTACATTCTTTTAAGTGGTTATGGTATATAATGCATATGAATGCCTACCTTTAACTGAAATTGAAGAAAAAAAGGATTTTTTTTTTTAGAAAAGAAAGAATAACATATACTTTTTAGTATCTTCAACTTAAATAAAAATCGCTAACATTGATATCGGGTAATGCTTAAACATTCAATATTGATTTTAATTACACTAATCAAACAATTAGAAGAATATGAAAAATTATGGCATTGATTTCAATGCATGGTTGAAAGTATTTTTATTAAATTAATATTAATAAAAAATTGAAATATAAAAAGTTAGCATAGATATAAATTTAAGTTTTTTACAATAAACACATTAATTTATCAATTATTTTTTTAGAAATTATAATCATAATTAAGTATTATATCCATAGAATCAACTGAATAATCAACTATTCCATCATAATCAAGTTTCAATCACTCAATAATCAATTAACAAATTAGAACATATCTAGACAACTAAATCCAAACACAATAAAATTTAAACCCAAGATCTCAAGGTTTTATGGCTTCCTTCTTACCACTAAACCAAAACTTCATTAGCATCAATTATTTATTTAAAAATATATAAAAATCAATATTTCAAAATAATTTTTATATTTTTATCACAAAATTTTAAAAATTAAAAAAAAAAAAGAAAATTCATAAGATATTGTTATATTCTTTTAAATCTTAACATATCTATACATATTATAAAAGCAATCCCCTGCGTTTATTTTGCTATGCACATCTTTAAAGTCCTAAAAAAAATATAAGGTTAAATTCGCACCATAAAAAATTGCTTAAGCATAATACCTATGTGAAACCTATTAAAAAAATGACATGAAGGATATTTTCATTTGTTGCCAATTTTATCTCTTTCTCTGTCCTTTTCTCCTCTACAATGCCTCTCTCCAATCTGTCATCCTCTCCTTTCCTCTATAAGTGGCCTCTTCTATTGTTGTGGTTATTGTTTGCCAGCGTTGGCCTTCTCCTAACTCTTCTTCATCAGTTTTTCTCAGAAAACTTACTTTAAAAACCTAAAAGAAAATACCCAAAAATCTTGGTCAATCTATTTAGGGATTGTGGTCTTTAGTTTCTTACTTCTTTCAACCCCATATTAATAGAGTCGATAGAATTTGGGTGTCAAGTGAATTTGCTCAAATTTCAGAGATAAATCATTTGATGGTGAGTGACAGAATGCATTATGCAATCTTGATATAAAAATGAGATGTAAGAAAATCTTAGAATTGTTTTCTTTTCTTTTCTTTTCGGGTAATCAATCAAAGGGAATTTTGCTATGTGTTCTTTGCTAGGTACTTTGCATGGATTAACAAAATCACAAATTGTTAGCTTTTCTTTTCTTTTTCTTTTAATTTCGTTTTGGGCCTTTGTATTTTGATCCATGTGTATATATATATATATATATATATATATATATATATATATCGATATTAGTGGAGATGTACAAATTGTTATCTGCGAATTCAAGTTCTCAATCTTATTGAATAAAACGAAGAATTTATCTTTGTTGGCTCTTTCATTAATTAATTTATACTAGTTTTAATGATTCTTAATTTTGAATCTTGAAATTACAAATCAAATGCCCAACAAAATCAATTTAAATACTGATTTTCTTTCCAGTAAAATTTTTTCCGAAACTATTTCTAAAGGAGTTATTTTCACAAAGTGTGTGTGAAAATTGTTAAATTATGTAGTAGAATCTTGGGAATTTAATGCTTCAAAATGTTTTTGTTACATTGCTAGGAGTGAGGGCCTTTCTCAATAGCTCGAGGACCCAAACATATTATAATATTACTTTACCATGGAACATTGATCATGGTAAGATGCAAGTCCAAAAGTATGAATGTTCTTATATAAAAATTTTTTATCCTGACTTTAATACTATTTTTGGGTAGGGAGCAGTATGATTAAGCAGGATATATATAAATCTTCAAGATACTATATTACACTGGGTAATTTAAAACTCAAAAGATGTGGAGGTAATTGTGAAATTTAGACTTGCCTATCTTGTTTTGTTGATTTGATTCTTTTTGTTAAAGTGCTGCCAAAATATTTGAGAGATTGAGATCTTAATTTCTTCTTTTTGACACTAGCTGATTATTTCTTATTGTTATTTTAACCAAATCCAACTCTTAAGCTTTGAATAAAAATAATATCTTTTAATTATCTAACATTTATGTATATAATTGATACATTAGTTAGAACGTAAATGTATTATATGTTAGTTGAATAATTGTTTACTAACTAATCATTATGTTTTTATTATTGAATGACTGCTATGTTAGTTATTACATGTTAGCCCAATGACTCTAGAAATGGCGTGAGGGTTTCTAACTAGTTCAAATTATTTTGAACTAAACTTTCCCCTTTTTACAAAACATTCAATTTAAAAGAAACGATAGTAAAAAAAAAAAAAAAAAGTTATTATATTAATTAAATTTTTTATAATCAATTTATTTTGAAATAAACTTTTCATATTCTACAAATCAATGAATTTAAAAGAAATGATAGACACGAAAATTCAATAAGTGTTATTATATTAATTAAATCTTTTCATATTCCATGAATTAGAGATATAAAACAAATATGTGAAGAGACAAAGGAATATAAATGTTTTTTTTTTTTTTTTGAAAAGCAATCGGAACTCTGCTGATATAAATAAATTCTTTTGAAAGAATAAAACATGTATAATTTTTTCATAATCTTTTTAATATCTATTATTTAGAATTTTACAACTAATATATATTCATTCTAAGGTTTTTATATTTTTACTACTATTATATTCATTTCACAATTATTTAGATTTTTACAGCACCAATCACCTCAGTGCCAAACACAATCCAGCAACTTGCCATTTATAAGGTTCCAAACAAAACTCAGATTGCACTAATAACTCGATAGACCCAAAAAAAAAACACAAAAAGGAGAATAAATTGATAAAATCTAGTTTATGTCCACATGCTTCAACAAACAAATAAAAATAGCACAACGTTTAAGAAACAAGCCAAACTACCAGAACTCCTTCAGCCTTTGCCCTTTACCTAGCTAGACGTGGATTCCATAACCTTTTTGAATTTTACTGACCATAACAACAAACAAAAGCAGGGGAATGGTATGTTACAGCTGAAATCACAATGTAGACAGATAACCGCCAACTTCCATGTTAAGCCCCAAAAAAACCAAGAAATCCACTTAATTGGCCAGAGAGCTTGGTTTAGTTTCCAGGAGGTCCATCCTTCACTTTGAATCCATCCATTAATAGAAGTGTTGATTCCTTGTATTGTATCTTATTATTATTTACGTACCAGCAGAACCAAGACCTACCTCCCACCTCACATGCTCGGGAATCAGCCTGTTGATTAGCTCAGGGGAAGCTCCAGCTAACTATAAATGAGTTAGACATGAAAAGTCAGTGGATAAGTGATCACCAAGACAAGAAAATAAGAATGCCGAAAGAGAATGGACTAAAGCAAAGAATATTCCATAAATACATCATGCCTTGTGCAATGCACGCAATTCTATTGATGTTTCATGCAGCATGTACTGAAATGCGTTAGAAGTTAAGAACATAGGATCAGATAAAGCAGAAAAAATAATAATAATTAGAGTTCAACTGCGATAAAACAAAGGGCTTATGTTGATAGATATGCGTGCACTGAACTAAGAAAGGCGAGGACCAAATATCTCTTCAATCAACAGTATTATTGTGCTTCTTTGATTTAAAGTGCAAAAACTAGTAGGCTCCCAGAGATCCACAAGTTAGTAGGAATGCAAACAGTCAAAAATACAAGTGCCAAAAATACTTCTCTGAAACTGCATGAAAAAAATAAAGGATAATTACAGACATACTTCTTGTTTAAAGTTGAAAAGTGGGGGTAAAGGGCGGTTATTTGGAAGGCGAGCATTAGGCTCTCGGAGTTCATCAAAGAAAGGATGTGCTAATGCTTCCAGCTGCAATAAAAATATATATATAATAGACTGGTAAGAAATAAACTAAGAATTCATATCATTAAAATATTTGGAAGAAATGAAAAATCTTAATATTGAAATTCGACAAATATTGCAGCCCTAACATGAAATGTTCTAGTATAGTAATTAAATGACATAATTTCTGCCAAAAATTGCCTTTTAACTATGGAGCATGGTGATAAATTTTCATTAATACAAGGGAGAAGTTAACTCTTCTAATAAAAGAAAGTGAACTCACTGCAGTACATCGAAGACTTGGTGAATACTGAAGAAGGCGTGATGCAAGGTCAATTGCTTCAGGAGGCATACGCTTGTGGAAAACCTGAACCATAGCCATTGTTATACACATAATCAACTACAAAAAATTATTTGAAAAACAAATTCGAGTCCAAAGTAATACATTAACTTGTAATGGCATCAAGAGCATATGCCAGTATCATCCATTTATCATACACGGAAGCACACTTTCTCTTTTTCATTTATTTAAAAAGAGGAGGCACACATTTTATCTCTGCTCCAACTAGATATTCCAAAACTATCAAGCAACTTTCATAATCCGAAATGCAAATGGTAAAAGGGATACCTTATGCCACGGGTGGCCTTTAACCTGAGGGAATCTGAAATCTGTATAGTTGGGATTCATGCATCGAATTTCCTCTCGCGTTGGAGTACCAAGAACCTACAAAAGGACAACTAAACATATGATTATAAGACTAATTAAGTTGCAAAAACCACAATTACATAAAACAATGATAATAATCCTTCACCTTGATAATCTCTACAAGTTGGTCAACTGCATTTTCTCCTGGAAACAAAGGCTATGGAAAAAAAAAAGGAAAAAGAAAAACAAACAAACAAACAAACAAAATATTATTAAAGATGGCTTTGAGTAGAATCCTGAAAATTGTTATTAACTGTAATGTTAAGATTACCATGGAAGTTACAAACCTGGCCCAAAAGAAGCTCGGCAAGCACACAACCAGCAGACCAAATATCAATTGACATGGTATACTCTGTAGCCCCAAAAATAAGTTCTGGAGCCCGGTAGTAACGAGAACATATATACGATATGTTAGCTTCACCTCTTACCTGATGAAAACCAAGAAGTCAGTGAAACAGAACTGAAAACATACAACCTCAGTTAGGGACACATTTTTGACCATCTAAGAAGATCCAAGCTTGTATGAAGAACACGCTACTCCTATTGACACCCAGAGGCCAGAGCAAGGGTTGCTTATGCACTTGCCCTCCATGAAAAAATTGTTATCAGCAAACAGTCTGAGAATAATTGAAATGTGTGTAAACTTATGAGATACATTTATCTAGAATTAAAAATGCGAAGAACTTCCAATTGAACAGGCACAATAAACAAGTTCCAAGGGTAAAGTATAACCAAGAATCCCACACGTGATGCATCAGCTTCAGCTAAGCAACAGCCTAAGTAAACGTTAATCACAAAATATATTTCTCAACATAGATGGAAAAATAAATAGTCCATATACACGTGTGCAATGCAAACACAGAAATTTGAGAGAGAATACATCCATGATAGAAACAAGTAAAGCAACTTATGTTGCAAGGCTCACATGCAAACAAGTTCAGCAGAATAAATTGCAATTTCCTAAAATGTGTCTAGAAATAGTTATCACTTCATGCTGTATATCATTAATTGAGAGAAACGGGTGAACAATAATAAGGGAATGCACATACCAGGACTTTTGCACTCCCAAAATCACAAAGCTTAACCTGATGGGTAAGAGGATCAACCTAAAGAATGCCCATGTATTAGGTTGGGAGTTGATATGCTGAAAACAAAACAAAAAAAAAAAAAAGAGAAAGTATACCAAAAGATTTTGAGGCTTCACATCTCTATGGCAAACCCCTGGAACAGCATGGATATATGCCAGCCCTCTGAAAATCTAAGTCACATTTTCCATTTATTATCAGGATTTTAGAAGTTGATAAAGAAAACGTTTACAAAGAAATCAATTCATACTTGATATGTATAGAGTTTCACATAGAGAAGGGGCATTCTTTGGTTCATACTGCTGTAGTGCCTGAGAACCCAGTACATAGTCTCAGGAACATACTCCATAACCAAATTTAAAAAAAGCTCATCTTTAGTTGTAGTGGAGAAAAAACAGTGCTTCAGAGACACCACATTCGGATGATCCATTAAACGCATCAATTGCAGCTCACGGTTTTTATACCGCCTGTCTTGCAAGACTTTCTTTATTGCCACGCTCTCACCAGTTTCCAAGCATTTTGCCTGTAGATGGGTGAGATAAGGTACTCATTATCAACCAAAAAGATTGGAGATTACTTAACTGTCAACTACTCTTGAAGCATAGATGTTTGCACCTGAAAAACAATTCCAAATGAGCCGGTGCCAACAACCCGTTCTGCCATGTAACTGATGGTCTGCAAGCAATTGTGAAATAAAGTACCATCATGCAACAGGAAGAACCAAAGAACCACAGAAGAAAACAAAAAACATCAGCAATTTTTAAGTCTTGATTCTCAATTGAGTTATATACAATGCTTAGATAGAACAAAAGAAGAAAAATGAGAAATTGTTATAAAACAACCAAAATGCTTACATGCCAATCATTAATTTTCAAGGAAAATAGACAATTAATTCTTTAAATTCAAATAAGAGCATGTATATAACTTATAGTTTAAAAAAGGACACGTTAAAGAGGGTATAAAAAGGAAAGTAAATCAGGTGCTAACCTGTTTTGGTTCACCATTTTTGCCTCCAATTGTGGTGGAAATGATGTGGCCAGTGACTTGATCGTTACCCTCAATAACAGGAGCAGACATTTCCTAAAATAATAACAACAAACAGGATCAACTTAAGGCACAAACTATAGCCTAGTTCACTTCCTATAACACTTTTTTTCTCTCCTATTGATTGCTATTTCTGATACTTGTTGATGCAACATCAATGCATGGTTGTAACCAGCTGGTACTACTATCTATCCCAACTCGACGATAAATCATACATAAACATGTCGTAAAATGCATTCAAATAGCAAAACCTATTGTTGACATTAATCAGTACTTCATTATACTGAAACCTATGCTCCATCACTTCCATTAGTGCAACCATCAAAAACAGATATTATGACCTTGATCGTGATTGCAATTTTTGGTAGGTTGCCATTCTGGAACAAGGTTATCATTAGGCTGTATGTGAAAAAGGCAATATATGGATAGAAAAATATCTCACACATGGACTGTCAATTAAACAAAAGAACTGTAAATCAACAATAACAAATAAATACTTACAAAGGAGAAAAATAATCAACTACTACAAGAAAATGGATATTATTCTGTAGAACTAGAAGGCATCTCAGGAGTGCAAAATTGAAGAAGCACAAAGATCTCCATAATTATGTTACAGGCAAAGCATAATACACAATGACCATATTTCGCAAGAAAGAATCACATGCCCCAAATAAATAAATAACAGAATCCGTTGTAAAGAAGAGACTGTTATAAGAGAATCTAAGGACATTCACTTCCAGAAGCAAGCTACAAGAGATTGAACAACAATCTACCTAAAGATTAAAAATAGAAAAAGGACCTATAAAAAGTTTTCAGAAACCAGCATTTTTTCACAATACAAAGCAAAATCCTATAAATTAAGTCACACCCAATTTTTGTATTATAAAAAAAAATTACAAATACAAAAACGAAATAAGCTAATAAGTAATAAAAGAGTTTATTGAATTAAATAAAATAGGGAAAAAAACCCTAATTTTCTTTTTGGCAGCTGGAAGAAAATACAGAGAACAGTAAAAGATATGAAGATTCTAAATCTAATTTCATTTTAACTTTGTTAGCCCATTATTACACTAGAACTAAGCAAATGCAACTATAAAAGTAAAGAAAAACTTCAATTCTGAATTTACCTTTTCTTTGCCTAGATTTTCTCAGAAATGAAGCAAAGTAACTGAACCAGAGAAAACAAATTTAGGTTCAACTTTCGATATCAAGATCTTCACAACCAAAGTTTTCAAGCCAAAAAAAAAGCATATAAACGGTATAACTAAAAAATGAAAATTAATCCCAAGAGAATAAATATTTAATTTAAATTTTAAAAAAAGGTCAAAAAACAAACTCTAGCTTAAAAAAGAAAAAAAAAAAGAGTTTTAAAAGCTAGAGAAAGTAACAAAACACTTAAATCGATTAAATTTGAGTAAAAAAAAAAAAGAAAGAAAACGGAAGAGAGAAAGCTAGATCAAAGAAGATCTAAGCAAAAATATGAAATGAAAAAATATTTTTACAAATTTAAATGTATTAAGAAATGGAAAAAAAAAAAAAAGAAAAAAGAAAAAAACCTTATCGGAATCCATATCTGAACGGCGTAGTTTCAGAGAGTCATTGTCAGCTGGTTGTTGTTGATGTTGAAGCTGAGGCCCCAAAGGCTTTGAGGCCATGTGCTTTACTGCTGCTCTCTCTTTCCGATTTTTCTCCCTCTTTTATTTGCTGTTTTTTATTAAAAATTTGAAAATAAATAAACAATCTGTCTAATCTAAATTGCTCTCTCCTTCGTCCAATTAAGATTTTTGTTTCGGTACACAATTGCTTGAGTGGTTTGTTGTCTTTTTCTCATCTTTTAGTTGTCGAAAATGGTGCCAATCTGGTGCCAGAGAGTTCAGTGTAGCTAAAAGTGGACTTACATTTAAAATGGTTTAAGGGACGAGAATCACGTAGTGGAGCCCCGTTTATCCATGTGTTTTTAATCTTGTATTTTTTATCGGAATAAATGAAAAAAAAAACTTTTTTCAAATTATCATTTTATTGTATAAATTGCCTTAGTACATGGCTAGAAGAATTCTATTTTATTAAAGCATTTATATTAAATATATTATTAATATATAAATTTTATATATTATTAATAACTCAAATAATACTACATCATTAATTAGATAAATCAAATAATATCATTTCATTAATAATAAATTTTTAATTTATTTTAAAATTGATATTTATTTATTAATAAAATAACATTATTTGACTCATTAATAATATATAAAATATACACATTATCAATATATCAAATATAAACTATTTATTAAAAACAAAATTAATCAATGTATAAACCCATAAGAATTTTTTTTTTGCCAATATACAAGGACATAAGATTTAGTTACTCATGAACTTTTTGTCGGTTTAAAATTTTTTCCATATTTTTTCTTTGATTGTTCAAAGATAGTTTTTATAAATATTTAAATTTGAGAAAACTAAATTGACCTAAACCAAATCTTGATTTAGTTTCTCAAATTAAAAAAAAAAGAATATGCTTTTATTATTATTAATTAATTACATATATTTATGTATAAAATACATTTTACTGTATAAATTAAAAATAATTATAAAAGTAACTAAGAAATATGATTCGATTGCTTTTTTGAATAATTTAATCTTTTACCTCATCAACAAAAAATTAAACCAAACTAGATAATTCATTATCCAAATACAACAAAAACATAATGGAAATTGAACCAAACTGCAATTTTTTAATCAGTTTCCAGCTTTTTTTTTTTTTTTCAACCTCATTCTTTGCTAGTTCACTTTCCGACAATAATTTATCAAGTTCAAACAATCAAGATATCAAAACCTAACTTAAGCACATTACCAAAAGTTACATAATTCAAAATAGGAATTCAAGTAGCCATTTATATTTGGTGTTGTAGCATGTTAATATTTCGCTTATAAGGGTAGGGATGATAAATCATCTTCGAAATCGTTGGGTTTCGACCTGACCCAATCTTATGAAGTCAAAATTTTTTTTTGGAAAAAAGGGTTTAGGGTAGAGTCGGGTCGATTTTATTTTTTTAACAGCAAATTTGGGTCAGATGCGGGTTTATATGAAACTTGACCCGACCTAGGATATTTACCAAAATATCCTTATATATATGTTATTTTTTTTAGAGTTTCCCATTTCTTTCTACCTCTAGTTTGTCTAACTCTAACCATGGTCACAACTTGTTATGCTTTTTTCCATCCATTCAAATTTTTCCCATCCACCTAACCCACCTCATTTATTCCTCCCGTAGCTTCCATCCATTCCCTTCCTCTATTTCAGCAAAGAAAACAGTCATACCAGAAAGTAGAAAGTCAATCTTTTAAGTAGTAAAGCTAGATAATCTAAGAGGACCTTCTCTTTCTACACCAAAAAGAAGAAAAAAGGTCTAAATTCAGATTCTATAGTAACTCCTATTGAGTTGTTGCTCATCGAAATACCCTTTGTTTTGTTGGGATTTCAGTCTCTCTCTAATGAATCTATTACCACTCATCAATAACTTCATGGTTAGTCCTCTCTTTCTTTCTTATAACAGATCTATCATGTAAGTTTTATTTAGGGTTTACCTGTAAATTTAACTAATTTATGATTCCATTTGTATTATATTGTTATTGCTTCTGAAAATTTAAAAAAAAATGAAAGTAGATATTCAATTTGTTATAGTTGCAAAAACTCTTTTTTAGAATGTTACATAGAGCTGTGCTTCAAATTTAGTCTTGTAGTTTTAGAGTTTCAGTTTCTTTCTAGGTTCAAACACAAATAAAGTAGTTCTTTTCTAGGTCTAAACAAAAAAAGAATTTATCCTTTTTCGTGGCAATAGGAAACATCAACAATACTTGTAGGCACCACCTTAACTTTATAAAGAAGATATATGAGAATCTTATTACTTGCTTCTCTAAGATATTTAAAGACTAATACTAGATAGAAATAAAATGATGGTTTGAATTATTTTTTCTAGCAATAGGAAACGTCAACAACATTGAAATGAAAATACAATTAAGAATATTAACTAAATGAGAAATCTTGTTGTTTAAAGCTATCAAAATTCAAATAATTTATGTTAGGCAACAGATGTCTAGAAATTATGGTTGCATAGAAGCCAGTTTTTCTACCATCATGACTTTTCCCTATCTTTTCCTACCTTAAAGTAAAATATGATGAAAATTCATATTTTATATTAAGACTTAACATTGCTAAATAATGTTATACAAAAGCAATCTATATGAAAATCATATACGATACTTTGGACAATTACAATAGTTTAGAGCTGTAAAAAATGAATCTTATTGTCAGGTTAGTTGAATGTATCTCAAGTTAAGTTAAATTATGTCCATGTTCTGAATTGTTGTCTTTTGCTCATTGATCTTGTTGGATGTAAGCCTTAATTCTTTATTCACTTTCTACTATATGCAAAACCATGGATACCAAGTAGGAATGTTGTTGGTTAGTAGTACTTTATAAGAACTTATTTCAAGTTGGATTCTTTTCTCACATAAAATAGCATCTTTTACAAATAGTGTAAATGATAATTGAGAAGCTATTTTAATATCAACATTGCATGACATTAGTATTATCTAAATTTCATACATCATTAAAATAATAAAAAAAACAATATGAAAAAAAAAGAAAAAAATTAACTTTTAATCACTATAAAATAGAATGTAAATCTTGATTTATTTTATGAAATATGGTGTAGTGTTTTAAGTAGGGCTATATCTCTATGAGCATGAGTATGTGCATGCTTGCTTGTTGCTTTTTATAATGATACACAACAGCACCACACTTATATAGAATTGAAATTAAGGGGGACAAAAATTTAGAAATGAATCAGTCGAATTGAAATCAAGTAGTCTACTTGCTTGTTTATTGCTCGTTATGGGAGACAAACCTATCTATTTTGGTTTCATGCAACTAATTTATTTACTTGCTTTATTTGTTAATATCAACAATTATAACTAATTTTTCTTTTTATGAATGAAGTTAAAATGTCTAATTTGAGAGATAATTCATGTTCCTTGACTTTTCTTACTTCTACCTCGCATCAATCACCAATTCAACAAAATCCATTTCAACATTCGATGAAAATACAACTCCATCATTAAGTGTGACTATCGAGGGTGCTAAAGTTGATGATAATGTGTATAACTCAATGAAGCTAAAATCAAAAGTATGAAAACATTTTTAAAAAGAGAAGAACAATAATAAATGGAAGGCAATATGCAATTATTGTAAAAAAAACTTTGTGGTGCTTCTAAGAATGGAACAAGTCATTTATGTGAGTATTCAAAAAAGTGCAACAAGCAATTTCAAATGGATATTCGTCAACAAGTACTAGTAGCTAATCAAAGAAAGACAAAGGGAAAAGTAACACAAAAAAACTTTTTTTTTATCAAAGTGTCACAAGGAGGAAGCTTACCAACATGATAATCATGCACGAATACCTCTTATCAATTATTGGTCATATGTAATTCAGAAAGTATTCTTACAGTCTTTAACCTTTGTTTGCTATGTCTTCTCGAAATACTTAAAAAAATTATATTTTGAAGATTTTTAAAAAGGAAAAAGCAAAAACAATATATAAGTTGGAAGCTAATGAAAGGAGAATTGCTATCACAATTGAGATGTGGGCTACTGATTACCAAAAAAAATAATGATACATAACTGTCACTGCTTATTACATCAATAATGAATGAAACTTACAAAAATGCATCATCAGGTATATTTTATTA